GGGATCGTTTGTGAAAGTTCTGTATTGATCTGGCAAAGTAGCGTTGCAGTAGTTCTAATTCACGGAGTTCATTTGATGATATGTTTGCCCATAGATCACAGGCATAGAGGGCGCTTGGGAGAACAACACGCCGCCATATTTGAACACTGGTCAGTGGATTTAGACCCCTAGCTCTTAACCCAATATGTCTGAGAGAAGCAATGGTACGTCTTGCCTTAGCGCATGCTCTTGTGCTCCTATCACTCTCTTTTTGTGAGGTCATTAGAGAGCCGGTGTATATAGTACTCTCTTTACTGTCAGTTCAGTTCTGTAAAGTTTCAATGTATCAACTTTGTGACCGCTTTTATATATGAGAACACAGCTTTTCCGTGCATTGTATGACAAACGCCATTGGCAAGCGTATTGATGAATTACGTTAAGTGACAACTGGAGTCCTGTTTGTGTACAGCCTACTAATGTTGTATCACCTGCCAGTAATACTACAGGTACATGTTCACTTCCAATGATAAGACCTTTTGTGTTGGTTTCTAGGTTAGTTATCAAGCCATCAATATAGATGAGAAACACCCATGCTGACAAAACTCGGCCTTGGCCAACGCCTTGTTGGACTTGGAAGAAGTCACTGGTATAGCCATCATATCTCACACAGGCTGTTGATCCGTGATACGAGTGATGTATCAGATGCCACGCATGACCATGTGTTCCGTATTCGAAGAGTTTTAGTAGAAGTCCATCGTGCCAGATGCGGTCAAACGCTTTTTCATTGTCTAGGAATACGACATACACTCTCGTTTCTCTCTCTACATATTAGTATGAGACCACTTCCTTCAGTATGTGGATAGCAGTTGTGGCTCCATGTTCTTTTCTAAATCCACACTGAAATCTGTTTGGAAATGTTGGATTTTTCATAGCCATGTATACTTCTAGTCTGTTTAACAGAATCCGTTCAAAGATCTTCCCGATAGATGAAGTGAGCGTTATACCTCTATAGTTCGTTGGATCGGATCTGTCTTTGTTGTTCCCTTTGTATAGGGGTATAATCATTTCTTTCCTCATTCCTTCAGGCAGATAGCATTCACGTATGATCAAGTTGAACATATGTGCGAGGTGTTTATGCAATAGAGAACTAGCGTACTTAATATGCTCATTAGTGACCAGATCAGGGCCTGGTGCTTTCTTGATCTTCGCGTCTTTTACTACTGTTTTCACTTCTGACACAGAGACTGGATCCGCCAATATTGGGTCTGTATGTGGAAGAGGAACGTTGCATATCTTCATCACACGTTCAGTCGTTTGTTTTGCAAAGGAACTGTCAAATTCAGGTTTATCAAACGGACTAAAGAGATCACGATAATATTCTGCCCAAATATTACATACATCAGGAGATGAAGATGCTGTTAAGTTCTTATAGGCAATGTTAGAGTTCACAGCGGATTTTCTTCTCCGTTTTCTAACAGTTTTATAGAATTCACTAATGCCACCTTCACATGCTTCTTTTATCTCAAAGTATTTTTCTCTTTCCCACTGCCTCTCTGCCTTGCGTTTGTGCGTCTGAATTCACATTTTGCCTGTTTGTAAGCTCTGTATGTGTTATCATTGCTTGTTCTTGATTTACCTTTTACTTTCCATAATCTCTTTGCTTCTCTCATCTGGAAATGGTAATAATCCAGATTTGAACCTTTCAAGTATGGCTTCAAATAATGTCTAAATTGTCCAGATGGGATATGTAAGGAAGCCGCGGAATGTAGAGCAGTTGTTATCGCGTCCATGTAGGATTCTATAGTGTCTTTTAATTCACACTTAGGGTTAGGCAAAGTTGAACCTAGTAACAAGTTTATTTCTGTTTCATACAGTTTGAGTTGGATCCTTGTAGACTGCTGGGTTTGAAGAGATAGTCTAAGAGTGAGTGTTGGGTTTCTGTCTTGTTTCTCCACGTGATGAGTTGTCCTTCGGTAGTACCACACGAGTAAGAAGCAAGCATACTTCTCTCCGAGAGAAGTTTGAGCAGGAGTTGCGATCTACGTGAAAGTTTATTATGATAGATGTCAGTATTAAAATCACCACAAAGGATAGTAACACTGTTGCTACTTAGTTCGTATACAGTTTCGAATACGCTGTTCAAGCATTCTGCATATTCGCTGATATTGTGATTTGTTGACGGGAGTAAAGCACAAACTATAGAGAGGTCTACACATTGTTCTCGAGATATAGTCACAGCTATCACGTCATCACATGTAGTGTCATGTACGTACTCAGAGAATGTTTCACAAGAATAGCTACTCCACCTTCACCTCTACATCCATGCTGTCCAGATCGTAATCCAACAGCACAGTCAAACTTGTTTCTCATCTTGTCCAGGTAGGTTGCAGTGTTCTCTGTAAGCCAGTGTTCTGTAAGAGTCAGCACATTACACTGGTCAGCGACCTTATTCAGATACTCACAGCTGTATAAGGCTCCACGAATATTCCATGTTCCAACGCTTAGCATGGTAATAAGTATTAGGCAAGTATTCAATGTTATCAAGTTAGACGAGTTAGGTGCATCATTGCTGTTTCTGTGTGACTGTGGTATCCATTCCCGACATCTTACATTTGGCGGCCAGAAATGTTCATTCTCAGTAACTTGTTCTGCTGTCCTACTGTCAATGTTCACGCTCAGAGTGTAAGTTGGATTGTAGCCTTCCCAGTGCCTCCACAAACGAACGTAACTCACAGATCTCTGAGCATGGTCTTCGTGTTGTTTATGGCTGACGTCATCACATCCAACTTCCCTGGTATGGTCATAACTGGCACTGTCATGTTGAGTAGGAATTGTACACATAGTGTCACAGTCTCCATCCTCGTCGTTCTCAGTGTTGTCCCCAATAGTATCCCTCTCGTGGTTTAATAGTAACGTCCACAACACTTGGAGTTTTAGTTTTGTTGGTTTCTGCTGTTCTGATCAGAACACTGTCGGCCTTATTGCCTGGTTGCTTCAGAATACACCAGCTTGTTGCGAGTGTTTACTGTGTCTTTTTTCCCGTCTACAGCGTTACTAATATTGTCTTTCAGATCACTTTCAGGTGGTGTATCCGTGAATCATTCTCACGTAGTTGAGAGAGACTAGTATCCGTACGTCTCCACGTAGCTTGAGCTCTACGTTTTTAGACCTTTCTATCTCTCTTGACGCTAGCTGTTATCAGGTCGCTGTTCTTCTCTTCGATGGCACGCTTCATATTCCTGAGTTCAGTGTCAAATGTTTCATGCAATTCTTCAATTTTTCTATCCATGCTGTCATTACGTTCGTTCGCTGAATCCCGCATTTCCATTATTTGGCATAGATTAGGGTCAAAAGATCATTACCTCTTTGTGTATCCGGCGACCTGTCTCCGGGTACGTTGGTGGGACGTGCGTTTGGTTTGCCTTTGCTGAGTACTTGTTTTTCCAGTATATGAGAGAGGATTGTGTGTGTAATAAAACCATATAGGCAATATACATCAGACGCATATTTCTCAATCACGGACTTCCTGGAATGTTCTCTTTGTACACGTTTTGGTAGATATCCATTTGGAGTATCGTGTCGACTATCCTTGGCTACGTCATAAAGACTTTGTCTCACTTCGTTCAGTTTTTCTTCATCATCCTTGTATATGTCCAAAAGTTCAGTTTCAAGCCGTGTTTCAGTGACTTGCTGTTCTGACGCATGCGCACTGTATCGAGATTACCAGGTCTGTACCAGATTATAATGTCTTACTATTGTCACAAAAGGTACTTTCTGTTGATGTCACTGCTTCTAGGAGTAAAGCTGCAGCTGAATCCCCATCTACAGCACAATCAGTAATGCAACATCACCGCACATGCAAAACACATGTGCTATCGTGTGTAGACATGTACGTAATCCTACCTCTGATGGTGTATACCTGTTTCACTGCACTGGCACTACTTACTGTACATTCAATATAAAAGCCACAAAGGTGAAGTTTTTTTCTTTTTTCTTTGAGATATCTTAAGTGTTCGATCAACGCGGCGAATGTAACAGTTGTATAATGGTAGATAAGAATATAATCAGTCAGAAAATATGATAATCGATTCCGGGCAATGCGACTTATGCACGCCTCAAACATACATATTCCAGCTGTACTAACATGACCTGCCATCCTGTCCAGCCTGAGGCACAGGTTGTGAGGTAAAATGAGGTTTAACGTCGCGTTTAAGATTATTGCGCTGAACGCGCCCGTGTGTGTGCGTGTATGTGTGTGAGGTCGCTTGTACTAATCCGGACTCATGTCTATTTCATTCTGCTAACACTGAGATACCATGCCGCAATGTAACATGAATACCCAGATCAGACACAGTATAGTGTATAATCCGAGCCGACCAGTCCTTGTTTAGCCCCTTACTTCCGAGCGCCATCTTTTATCGTCCTTTTGGTATGACGCGGCCGGGGATCGAACCCCCAGCCTTCCGCTCTCCGGGCAGACACTCTACCACTGGACCACGGAGGCGGTCCTATACCAGAGGAACAGGATGACAAACAATCAGTCTTGACACGCCTTCAGATAGTCACTCATTCGCCGTGGTTACCACCAACAGCCGTGGGGTACTGCGACCTCTTCCACGCAGTAATGGACAAAGAGGTATCTCTCAAATCAAGGTCTGACGCTAACTAATGTACCTTCTTGTTTTAACACATGGGAATAACAAGCAGGTAGTATTGAATATATCCTAATATTGATTATATCCTTAGTCTTGACTTAATCTGTAATGTTTGTTTGTTGTTTAACGCCCCACTCAGCAATATTCCAGCAGTGTGACGGCGTTCTCTAAATAACCAGACAATTCTACTCAATTGGGATGCAATGACATATATCAACCAAGTCACCGAGCCCGACCACGCGATCCCGTTAGTCGCCTTTCACGGCAAGCATGGGTTGCTGAAGACCAATTCTCAACTTGATCTTCAGGGGGACAATCTGTTATGTAATGCATGATGCTTCTATAGTGCTGAGAAGTACACAATCATACTCAAACATTAATTTTATTCACAAAATAAATACGTTTGTAAAACAACATAAATGGTAAAATGAAAAAAAACCCATATAAACATATAAATGTACAAATATACTTCCACCTTAACTGTAACTGCTTAGAAAAGATAAGTGCAATTCTTTAAACTTCAAAAATATTTTCCCATCATATACAAACTGAAAAGTAGGAAGGCGACATTGGTAATCACTTAGGTTATGTGTATATGTATGCCCTGAAAGAGACATATCCTCTCATATTACATCTACACAAAACACGCACGCACGCACACACACGCACGCACGTGAATTTTACTGAACTAACAACTATATATGTCGGCTATCACGTGCTCTATTAATTGAGCATGCAGTTTTCAGTATATTTATATTAAGCTGAGACATACACAATATATATGTTGATCCAATCGGAACGGTAACGTGGTGTCAAGTACCCAGGAACATTGCCCAAAACAGCATAGGCCGTCAGCCTCACTCTACATCTACTACAGTGTCATGAAAGGATTACTTCATACATTACATCACCACTGCATTATTCTCATTCAAATATCATCACCGTGGAAATACTTCCACATTCTTTAGATATTCACGTCACGGAAGAGGCAACTGTGTGGAATATGTGGATTATACAAAAATACATTCGTGACAGCGATTCGCCTTCAAATGTATGTGTTGTTTTTGTCATATGTTTTATCACAGAAACGCTACGTATTTATAAGTCCCCCCAAAACACGATGACATATCATCATCAGGTATGCATGTGGCATACTATCGTCATCTGATATGGCGTCACAACGTGTACGGGTGACATGCCATCGTCATATGACAGTCACACAGATATTCAAATGGATGTCCTCTTCAAACTGCTCTCCTCCCCATGTCCTCCACCCGTCCCCCTCAGGGCGTCTACTGTATCACAGATCTGTTGCACTATGTGGTTGAACACTCGCGGCCGGTCGGCGTACACATGGTGACCAGCTCCCGAGACCGTCTGCGTGGAGGAAACACGTTCACATATCACCATAGAATCAATTTATGAACTTCTACATAAAGCAGGGATGATTGTATTAAAGTTTATACTATGTACACAGTGATATTCAGTCATGTCAGATCCTATTATACAGAAACATGTCCTCTCCCGGTTATATTATATTTGCATCATATATCATAATTCATATCTGCATATCCATGGATTGTAAACCCGCATCATTGTTAAAACGGAATTATTCACTGTGAAGTATGCTTTCCGGTTTGTCGGGGTTTCAGTGTATGTGAACATTCTACGACTACAATACATAGCCAATACTTCAGCCGCTAGGTATCCTTCTCAAATTACACACACGGCCAGTTACTTTGAATGAGACTTGGATTGCGTTAGAGTCGGCAAACATTTTCTTACTCTGCATAATTCAACTCCAACGAATGATCATCACTACACACGTTTAATTCTAACTGACTCGTATAACAAGCAGTTGGTAGAACAACCAATGGAACTTACATGTGTCTCTACGTCACTGCCAGCGCGGAGTTGTTTGACGTTGTCCCCAACATCCCCGTCCAGCCAGGACTCCTGTCCGTGTATAAACGTCATTGGAACGTTGGAGTCCAAGGCAGTGATCCTGTTGATCATTGGGTGCTTGGCCCAACGGATCTGGGTCTGCAGTGTTTTGGCGGCTATTTCGCCACTGAAATGACACATATTCTTCAATTAAATGACACTCAATTTTGCTTTTTTACAAATATGAAAACACAATGCAAAATTGAATGAGTCAGTTAATATTGTGTTACGGCGCACGTCGCTTTATTACAATTACAATAGGGCGGTATTTCGGGAATGAAGTATAAATCAGACAAACCAGTCGACATTGACATCAGTCAATACAGTTTGTAATCGTTGTATGCGTATGAAGAATTTATCATATCCATGAACCGCCCGAATTTGAATTTCGCCAGGCACATTCATTACATATAATCACCCCAGATGAATTCGGCCGTAACATTACAAAAAGTGTGAGGTAAAAAAATAACCATTTCCCCCTAAAACATTAATACAAACTATTTTTTTCTTTACACATATTAATCTCCAGCATTTAGAATTTCATGCTTCTATGGTGTTTGACATGAGTGAGTTAAAATCGGCATTCTTTCAGGTTTAACATGCAAAACTTTATGTGGTCACAATACCACAAGAACCTTTAAAAGAGAGCATTATTTATTTCAAATTTCGTTTTATAGTAGGAATCATATTTCGTATGTTTGAATCGTACGGTAAATGAATGGACATCATTTGAGTACAAAATGCGATAGAAAAGCTTGAAAATAATGATAAATAGTGTATTGATTTATTAAAAAGGCAAATTCTGCGTCTAGAACTGATGACATCTACACATGCTGGAACCTTGTCATATAAGGGTACGGCAATGTTTGGATTAGGAGCGGACTAACCTTGGTTTTTGTGCATTGCAGTGGTATAAGTATTGAAGCATTAAATCTTCCTCATCGTTCAAAAAGTTTGCATATTTAGCCTTGAGATCTGGACGGAAGCGTTTCAAAATACCAGGACCTGAAAATAATATTCATAATGAATATGATATAACTATGGGAAGTAAGATGTTACCACATCATATATAATATAATGGCATGTTATTCTATCAATTTATTGCTCACATCTCGGCGTTTGAGCTTACTATGGCAGAAGTGAAGTGAAGCGGGTCGTAGGCGTTTAGGAATTTGTTGAAAGACAAGAGTGGGGGTCTGGTGTTTAATGAGCAAGTGTCGTCATCGTGGGCGAGCTGGTATTTGAATTAACTGTCAGGCGAGCAAGCTAAGGGATGCAACTATGCAGAGCGAGCTGCGGGCCTCATATTACTTGACCACTTATTTCACTTTTTGTTTATGAAGGAACAACCTCATATGTGAAAACATTATTTGGACACACTGCATACATTAAACTTACCATAGGGTCCGGCCACTCTGAGGGCCGTAAATGGATTGAAGGGTTGGAGGACCTTCACAAGGGCTCGAGCCCAGAGCGGGTAGTGTTGCCTGAACTCCGTGTCTGTTGGCTTCTCTGCATAACCCCACGGATCAGCCAAAATTAAGTGTTCAATTCTCCCAGGATTCTGTATCGCATAGGCACTGCTGACAAATCCGCCCAAACTGTGACCCAGGAGTATGAAGCGGTCAAGCTTGACCTCCTGGCGCCACTCCTCCAATGACCTCACGAATTCAGCCTCGGCCTCCTCAGCGTCTGTGCTGAACGTTGGTCTGGAGCTTCTGCCAAATCCAAGAAGGTCAAATGTATAGATCGGCCTGGTGTTACCAAGACTGTCGAGGTTCTGGATCCACATGGCTACCCCACCCCCCATCCCGTGGACCAACACAAGGGGCACGGCATCCAGGTGAGCGTTGACGGTCACTGTCCAAATATTGGAGCTGTTGGTCTTCACGAAACGGCCATTTGTTGTGCTTTTCATACCTGTAGGAAACAAACAATATGTTTCAACAATTGAAAATGACATCTGTTGGTAATATTGTGTCTGACAAAGGTTTAAAGTCAATTCCATTACAGATATATATATGACTGACATTTTTGAAGTTCTGAATAACGTTCGTCACTATATGGCTGAAATATTGACGATGTGACGTAAAGCATTACCTCACTCACTCTGAATAACGTGCAACATTAAAACGTTCCTGACCCATGAGAGGTAGAAAACAAAAGTCCAGACAATTTGGTTCAACTATGTTCAAGGGCCAGCTCACGGTTTTTGCAAAGGATCCAATTTATAATAATTTTTCAAAGGTAAATTTTATTACCACAGAAATGGTCCTTGTCCTGTTCCGTGCCTTGCTTTCATATTATTGATATACTTCTACCGAAACTACCCCTTCGATCATACACGGGCGTATAAAAAACTCTGTGTCAACCAGTACAAGTATATAACACTACCTTCCCGAAGATAGGTCATTTAGAATTTAACTTAATCTACGCTAGTAATACTCAGTATTACTCCAGCAGAATCCAACCTCCAGCGACATTTAACTATTAATATTAATATTGATGTATTAGATATTTAGCTTCTCAAGGCTAGGCTATAGGCCGCTAGTCTTCAGCTGCCATATTCATCGCGGCAGTACTGTCTCAATTTCTATTTGTAAATGCCCAAAGTAGATCATATCAAGTACAAACATGTCATTCACTTTTGCTTAGAACATGTCGTCATTGTTTATAATATCACAACAGTATTACTCTAGAAGAATCCCACCCACTGCGACATGTAACTATCTTATTGAGTTGCATCAGGCGCTCATGCGGACTGAGAATAGGGCTAACCGAGTTGTCTCCCTTCATTCGCGTTTCCAACTGTACTTGACACATTGTTTGGTGAACGGTTACTTCATGTTCGATGTGCCCACACATAACGCACGTAAACACTGCATACTTTGAAGGGAAAGCTCGAATGTAATATTCTCTCTCTCATTCTCTCTCACAAACAGTTCCTACATTTAAGAATCCTCTGTTCCACGTCAGCCAGCTTCTCTGCAGACGTGGGCTTCCAGTGGAGTCGACAACGCCGCCGCCTCCTCTCCGTGTGGTCAGCACTGGACAACATCGTCATACAAACAACATCAGAGCAAGAGTTCTCATCTTAATGTAGGGGGTATTTCCCACTGCTGAGCTATGTAGTTATAAACTGACTACTATCAGGAACTAAATCAATAAAGTCTTTGAAAGGTATTTAGAAGAGGAACACATAAGGAAGAGTGAGTGAGTGAGTGTGTTGTGTTTAACAGTATTCAAGTTGTATCACGGCGTGTCAGCTTAATGTGGGAGGAAAGCCCGAAGTGATGCAGGTCTCAGACGTTTACCACTTCGGTGAAACACGCGTGCACGGGTATGGTGCTGACAAACCTAGAAACATAATCGGAGTGAGCCGGGATTCGAACCCACAATCATAGGTTTCTGACGTGCCCAGGGGCACGACTGGGCCACCCGTGCCCTCTCACATAAGGAAGAGAAATTAAGGTTGTCAACTTCTATTTTATGAGGAACAAAACGTTTCGGAGTATATACTTACTCCATCATTCGCCTGATGAAGGAGTGAGTATCTACCTCGAAAGGTTGTGTTCAACAGAATAAAGAAGTTGACATCCATAAATTCCCTTCCTTAGATCAATAAAGATATAAATCAATGATGGCGGTTCTCCTTATCTTTGACAATAAGAGATTAGCACATTCTAGTTATTGAAATGATCTCTTGGTTAATGAGGCATTGTGAATATTTGATGACATCAATTTACAACACTGAATATGTATTCCTTCTACATAAACCATACTTCCAACATATTAGTGTTACTGATGCGTCAGAAAAAATGATTCTACAACAATATTACGACATATGATGACATGACATATCATGGACGTACATCCCTGCATGATACTCCTTGTGACGCCAACATTACATAACATTGCAACCACGGGTTCCCTACACAAATCACAAATCAATAATTCATCATCAATGTTCAACTGTGTGTGACAAGTATGTATCATACACACCAGCTGCAAGCATAAGGTACCGTGTTTCCTTTATTTAACGCTCCGACTTCTTTAAATTTTCCACAAGCCGTTGTCAAAACATTAGAGGCCCGGCGTCTATTCGGTTTAATGCTGGCCTAGCCGTCACTCACTAGCTTACCAAATCCCCAATTATACAGTCATGCAAAGTCTACATTTGTAGAAAACGGTCACGATAGTGCGACAGAGGGTAACCATTACCGTAAGGTAATGTGATAGGGATAATTAATTTAATAAAAGTGATGGATCCGGCCTCTATGATAGACCAGGCGTCAAATACAGGCCAGATGTAGCTGGTTCAAATCAATCCCTCCCTGTCCCCTCTACATCGGCTTTTGGAGTGTATCACCCGGCGTCTATACAGGCCGGCCTGTATTGGGAAGTGGTTCCTGTGTCTAATAGAGGAAATACGGTATACATTTCTGACAAGCAGTGTGGTTGCATAAACCCTGGTTTTCTCGGACCAGTCTTTTGGCCGAATAATCACACAATGTCCTGGGATTATGTCATACAGATAAGTGAAATTGATGCTAGACATATCTTTGGCAAGGTGTACACGAAACATTCAAATCTTAATTGTCTTACACAGCACTGTCGCCCTCCTCGTTTTTCGCTTCCTTGTCGATGTGCGCCATGTTTCCCCGCAAGTCACGTGACCTGGTAAACAGCGCTGTCATGACTCGGCAGAATCAGGCCAGTCCTTTGTTGATTTGCTGGGCTGACTCCTAATCATATTGGACTTGCTATGAGTAAATTCATTTGTTTGCTCTGAGTGTTTTGTATACGTATACGTTAGTGTAAGAATGACGCGCATTTTCCCTAGTGTACGTGCAAGTGTGTGTTTAAAAGTATTTTTATGTCTGTTGAATTGTCGATACCGTAACAAATATTACAAATGGCCGGTATTATCAAACTTGAAACCTAGTTGAGGGAAATACATAAAGCAGCTGTTTATTAAAGTCAAAACGTAAAATATTGAAGGTGTTTCAACAACGCAACCAACAGATGGAGACACGTGCATTGTATACTGTATTTTGTATTCATGTCTTCAATACATTTAATCTTGTGATTGGGAACTTGAGATGAGATAGGCTTATGTAAAGGCAATGCATAAGAATGCAGATAAGTCCAAGTTTATATGTTCTGGAAATATTCAGAATCACAATTGACAATGTTGAAACATAACTTGGTATTTTATTATCATACAGTATATGACAATTACAATATTGTTTCAAAAATATTCTTTTAGATAAAGTAATTTCTTGAAACGAAAAAACTTCATTAAACTTGTTTACATGGATTATCGTATTTTTTAATTTTTGTTTTCAATGTTATGAATATGTGGCAGGCTCAAGTCTTCATACATATGTAGATAAACATTTAACAAAGATTTATTAGACGGTTGGTTGGTTGGTTTTGTTTTTTTTGTTTAACGCCGCACTCAGCAATATTCCAGCTATATGACAGCGGTCTGTAAATAATCGAGTCTGGACCAGACAATCCAGTGATTAATATCATTAGCATCGATCCACACAATTGGGATCGATGTCATGTATCAACCAAGTCAGCGACTACCCGATCCCGTTAGTCGCCTCTTACCACAAGCATAGTCGCCTTTTACGGCAAGCATGGGTTGCTGAAAACCTTTTCTACCCCGGATCTTCACGGGTCTATTAGTTAGTAGTAAGGTTATATGGCCTTGTTACTACTAATAGATTCAACAAAAAGAACATATTATTAGTTAGAATATTAGTTATGTTTTATACGTTTGTATTTTATACCTTAAGAATTTATTCCATAGCTCTATAGTTTAAAGTAAGCTTACTCTCAGTTTGACCTCCACTTAGGTCAGTTGCTTAAGTCTTTTATGGTGTTGTATATATGGATGATTTCTAGTTACTGCGATTAGAAATAGAATATACTGCATTCTTGATTTGATTTATTAGAAATAGTATCCATCTTGTACATATTTATAGTTGTTGGTGAACTCACAGTTCAGTGAGTTATTGTTATTTTCTGTAAAACTATATATTTAACGCAAACCTAAATATATATATCAACTAATTATCATAATGTTAACCCCTCTGTACGGTAATGGCAATTAATTATGAATGTATGTTTGTATGTTTGATATGAGTTATCTTGGTAAGTGCAGGTGTGTGAGCGTTGTATGTTTGATATGCATAGCTGTACTTTATTTTTTATACATTATTTTACCATATAATAGCACATGCATATATATAGATTGTTTACTGCATATCTATTTTTTCATTATGCAGATCTGTTGTGGCAACGTCCGAGCATATTGATGTATTGTACAGATACGTGCAGTACTAGATGGATGTCATATATATGCTAAGTATCAATGACAGTGACATGTATACAAGTATTTTATAACTTCAAAGAGTAACTTAACAGATTGGACATATTTATTAGAAAATATTGTATATTTGCTTATGCTTTAATTTCATTGTTTTAGGCTGATTGCATATAACTACGTATTTTTGTTATATAACGGGATCGGGTGGTCAGACTCGCTGACATTGCTGATTCATGTCATCGTATCCCAGTTGCGTGGATCGATGCTCATGATGTCAATCACTGGATTGTCTGGTCCAGACTAGATTATTACCAGTTACTGTGTCAGAGACAAGAATAACATCATCGGCAAACAATAATGATAATAATATTTCAAACAAGTCTTGAAATAATTGTACGCCGTGTTTCCCATATGATGAAACTTCATTTGACAGTCCATTGATGAAAAAGGAAAATAATAGAGGGCTTAATATACAGCCTTGTTGAACTCCGTAAGGACAATTAAAATAATCTGTATAAATGTTATCATTACATCTCACACACGCTTTCACGGAGGCAGAGATTCCCTTAAGTGCCCTCATCATCTTTCCACCCAAGCCAACATCGTGCAGACACTCCCATAGCTTAAGATGATTTACTGAATCAAAAGCTTTTTTTAAAATCCACAAAAGCAACGTATCCTTTTTCTTTTCGATAAAGATTTTTTAACAATTGCATTCAACGTGAATATGTGATCAGCAGGAATCCTGCTTGTGTCTCGGGTAGTTTACTTCTTATATTAGCCCAGTTTGTAAGTCTAGAGTTTAAGACACTTGAGTAAACCTTACTAATTGTACACAATAGAGATATCCTTCTAAAGTTTTCTGAATTATTTTTGTTACCTTTCTTATATAGTAGAAGGGGGGCGGTCGGGTAGCCTAGTGGTTAAAGCGTTCGCTCGTCACGCCGAAGATCCGGGTTCGATTCCCGACATGGGTACAATGTGTAAAGCCCATTTCAGGTGTCCCCCGCCGTGATATTGCTGGAATACTGCTAAAAGCGGCGTAAAATCATACTCACTCACTCTCTATATAGTAGAAGGATGATAGCTTTCGTCCATTTCTCGGGAAATAATCCAGAATCAAATAACTTATTAAACAAATTTCGTAGGAAAGGAGTTATTACATTTTCACAACATTTTACGGTTAGGAATAAGTGGTTTAAACATATTTGTATTTCATCACAGACATGAAGAATGAAATGGGATTGGTAAACAAGCAATATTAGCACCGCTCCCGATGATCACAGTGGCAGCTTTAATACATAAATAAAAATATATATCAGAAATACAAATATCATGTAACAATATAATATCAGGGATAGATAATGTACTGCTTCCCCACAGGCTTAGGGTGGGTAAAAGTATGTGGTAAATAATAGTTAATATATTCCATGTGAGTGTTGAATTTCTCAATTTTATATGTTGTTAAACCCTTTAAGGGTTATTAAAATTCATATATTATAGCCTTTTTTTCTTTGTTCAACCGCCTAATGCATGAACCATTCTACAGTCTCACAGGATTGTCCCAGCTGGCTGATATCACAGTTAAACCCCCACACCTTAATAAACACAACGCAAAGGGCTGTGGGTCAGCAGTGGGATTCGATCTGGACACTCCGCACAGCCAGTGGTCTCTGCTGTCAATGGGCCGCCTCAGACAAAATTAGCCAGACACAGATTACGCTTACAAACTCTTGTAGGAACAACTAATGGTGAAATATACATAATAAACTTTAACAACCGTTCTTTCAGTTTTCAATTACCTGAAAAACAAACTCGGTATACTTTCTTTTGCCCCTCAGTTTCCATGCAGTGCCTCACAATACACCACCTTCACGACAATTGTTTGAAACTCCACATCATGTCAAACCAACTTTATGCTTGTTCATTTCAGCCACAATACAATGGGTGGCACCTGGTATCCATATCTGTGAGAATTCAATGTCCCTGAACGTGTTTCGTGGGTAGATACGTCAGCACATGACGCTGTATGTCGCTGTGGACACCCGTTACGAAGGGCATCGTGACAAAAGAGATACTCACGCATTGGATGAAGACAACATTTCAGTCGACACTGAGGGTGTTATCAGTTATCCTCTGTTTTTATCTTTAGAGAATTGGTATTAAATGCCGCTTGTGTTCATTTGTGGAAATTGAGAAGCCTTATTTACTAATAAGTTTCCAGTGAGTCGATGGGGAATTACAGCTCGCTACAAACTGTAGCGGACCATTTTAGATAGCACCGGCTCATTATCATGTGTTCACAAGTGGCACTTGGCAGGATTGCATGATACCATTTGAAGTATTTTACGTACGCTTTTATTATTCATTCAGCTATTTAACAAAATCAATAGCACACTATACTAGATGGAAAGACGTTCCTTTTTATATATCCAAGTTCGGAATTACATATTTGTAACAGCGCTAAGTTGGGCCGATATGGGGAGCGTCCCAAAAGACCACAGACAGCAGTGGGGTGTGAGGCTGATGACATTTATTGAGCATGTATTGTATTTAAGTATGTTTGTTTGCTGTTTAACGCCGCACTCAGCAATATTCCAGCTATATGACAGCGGTCTGTAAATAAGCTTAGAGCCGGGCTACTAAAACTTAAGATAAACGAAGGTAGATGGGCTGATATTGATTTACGTTTACGGCTCTGCCCCATATGTGAAACGAGTATAGAGAATGAATATCAATTTACTTAAGAATGTGAATATTACAACGATATTAGACAACTGTATTTACCAACAACTTTTTGTCATAATCCAAATATGCATAAATTAAAATCGCTGCTGTCATCCTCATGTAAACAATTACTTGAAAAACTATTACAGCTATGAAAGAAGACGTAATTATAAAAAGCCTGTAAATCTGTAAATTTGTACCTGACATTAACTTTTTTTCATGTACCACACTATTTTAAATGTATGTATTGTATATGGGCCAGTGGCCTTAGTACAAATAAAACACGTCTTCTTCTTCTACTACTTGTTGGAAATCCCGAGCTCTTAAGACACTGAATGCTGCAGTTCCAGGTCCTTAAAAACCAGTAGGCCGATCAGAGGTAAACTCCGGTCGTTCAGCCATTGGGTAGCATACTCTTCCTATCTTCCGCTACAACACTCGTCTCGAGCAGTCATGTCGGACCACTACCCCCCACCCCACCCACCCCACCCACCCCACCAACCTCACCCACACATGTTTCTTACATGTTTACACGTTTAGGCTACAATAAGAAATTAATATTTTCAATAAATTATTTAAGATTACACATATGAATAAATCAACAGAGGTACATTTTCTTTTGCTCCTC